CTACCAAGGGGGACAGCTTGAGGCTCTGTCTCACAAAAAAAAAAAAAAAAATGACAGATCAAGAGACCCCACTACCTACCCTACAAGACATGCTGAAGGGCCATCAAGTCGAAACTAAAAGACACTGAGACTCAAATCCATAGAAGATGGATCTTTGAAAAGACCAAAAAGAGTAACAGAACTTTACTAAATGACTAAGAAAAGACTCAAATTACTAAAATCAGGAATAAAAGGAGGACCATCACTACCTTATAGAAATAAAAAAGGATCACAGGGGGGATCCTATGAACAAATAGATGCTAATGAATTAAAACAACATAGATCAAAAGGCATAAAGTCCCTAGAAAAACATAAACTACCAAAACTGGCTCCAGAAGAAATAGAAAATATAAACAGACCTATAACAAATAAGACTGAATTTGTCAACAAATAACTTAGGACAAAGAAAAGCCTAGGCCAGGAAGGTTTTACTGGATGAATTACTGGATAAACATTTACAAAATTAATACCAATCCTTCACACACTATTCCACATGATAGAACAGGAAGGAATACTTTCTTTTTTTGAGACAGAGTCTTACTCTGTCACCCTCAGTAGAGTGTTGTGGCATCATAGCTCATAGCAACCTCAAATCTCAGGCCAGTGGTTCTCAACCTTCCTAATTGCCACATTACAAATTGAAAAAAGGGGTCATGACCCATAGGTTGAGAACCGCTGTCTTAGGCTCAAGCAATCCTCTTGCCTCAGCCTCTGAGGCCTCTGAGGCAAGAGAATCGCTTAAACCCAAGAGTTTGAGGTTGCTGTGAGCTGTGACACCACATCACTCTACCCAGGGTGACAAAGTGAGACTCTGTCTCAAAAAAAAGAATGCATCCTTCAAGATTTGAGATGCCCTGGCTATAAATAACCACTGAACCATAATTACTCAGAAAAGGCTTACAAGTTTTAAATGGTTCTTTATACAAGTGACCCTTGAACAACACAGGTTTGAGCTGCAGATTCTTCTTCCACCTCTGCCATCCCTGAGACAGTGAGACCAATCCCTCCTTTTCTCCTCAGACTATTCAACATGAAGACCACAAGGGAGGAGACCTTTGTGATGATCCACTTTGATTTATTGGAAGGAAATATATTTTCACCTCCTTATACTTTTCTTAACATTTTCACTTGTTTAGCTTACCTATATTTTGCTGTGTATAAATGACATTTTTTGCCCAAGATTTTAAGGGAAAAATAAGGATGCACATTAAACATGGGTAGTACTAACTCTGTATGTATCGAAATGTTTTTAATTAATTATGCTTATACACTAAAAGTGTAACTCTAGAAAAGGGTAATGATAGACACACGCAAAATAACACCTTGGAATACAGCAATCGGTTTTGTTGAACTTACAGTGAACTTAAAACGAAAGCATTCTTGGCCAGTGATGAGCACCATGTTTCTGATCATACACTTTAGGCAGGAGCTAGCCATCAGCTGATATTTTTACAAAAGTTATTGGAAAATTCCTTGGAAACTGTCTAAACAATTTTTCTACACTGCAAGCTCTAAGCTTTAAATTTGAATTTAAAAAATTAGAATGTGGAGGAGCCTGTAGCTCAGTGGTTAGGGCGCCAGCCACATGCTCCAGGGCTGGTGTGTTCAAACCTGGCCCAGGCCTGCTAAACAACAATGACAACTGCAATCAAAAAAATAGCCAGGTGTTGTGGCGGGAACCTGTCATCCCAGCTACTTGGCAGGCTAAGGCAAGAGAATCACTTGAGCTCAAGAGTTTGAGGTTGCTATGAGCTGTGATGCCACAGCACATTATTGAGGGTGACAAAATGAGACTGTCTCAACAACAACAACAAATTAGAATGAAGTATTATTTCATTGAAAGTTTGAGCCAAAAACATGGGTGCCCATTTTACATGGGAACACATAATACATGACAAAACACAATACTTCTTTGTAAGAACACAGTGTATAAGGATTGCATATAACATTCAAGATAGGTGTTAATCGACTGTTCATGTTATCAGTAAGGTTGCTGACCAATAGTAATCTGTACACTATTAGTAGTTAAGATTTTGGGGAGTCAAAACTTACACATATACATGGATATTCAACTATACAAGGGGCTGGCACTCCTAACCTCTGCATTCTTCAAGGGTAAGCATAAAGAACAATCCACACCCTGTGGACTGTGCCCCAAAGGCTCATTCCCATCATGAATTTATATGTATAGTGCACACTCAATGTTGCAAAGCACACGGACAAAAATCTCCAACAAAAAGGACATTTCCCCTGCCTACACAGAGACAAGCAAGTTTCCTTTTCTGTGAGGAAGACATGAAGAGAATGACCTGGAGGCTAGATGACTGAATACTGGGCACAGGGCACAGAGGGTACAAGCTAAGCCTGCAGTAGTCCCAGCCCGCACCAACTGGGTGGACGGCAGCAAAGCCACAGCTCTACAGGGCAGGACCAGGAAACTCACCTCGAGCTCTTCACTGTCTTTGGGCTTCTCCTCAGAGGTCTGTTTAACAAAGTCAGGGATGAGGATTTCCAGAGTGGCTCGGGCTAAGGGAAAAAAAAGCCTGAGGGTGAGGGCTAAGCACAACCCTCTTCCCAGGGCTCAAGCCAATGTGCCACCCAGCCCACAGAGTGAGCTTTTCACTGACTTCTGTCCCCACAGCTCAGGGGGCAAACCAGGGGCCTGAGGCGTGGCAGTACTTCAGAGGCAGGGTCAGGAAAGAACAAAAGGAAAAACCTATCCTGAAGAAGCAGACAGCAGAACAGGCTGCAGGAAGCCTCACAGACTATGTGGAAGATATGTGCTCTCACCCAGCGGGTCCTGGGAGCAGGCAGGGGGAGCTCAGATCTGTGTTCTAGGGAATCCTCTTAGTGCTATGTAAGAAACTAGGAAGGGCAGAGAACAGGTGTCTGCAGGCTTCCAGACCAGGCAGCAGTGGCAGTGCCCGCCATGGGCAGGCCTAAGGGATACTCTACAGAGAGTGTCTGCCAGGCAAAGCGCGGAGAGCCAAGAGAACGGGGACAGCCCACAGCTAAGAGCACAGGCACCCACATGAGCAGGGCTGCTGTGGCCACTGAGGGTGGGATGCAACAGCCAGAGGGCTGAGAGCTCGGCTCAGTCTGACCCCACAGAACTGGGGTGCTATAAGACACAAAAGCAAAGATGCCTGAAGATGGGAGCCAGAGCGTGTGCAGGGGCATGGTGCAGAGGGCAGGTGAGCCCACAGAGGGAAGAGCTCTGGGGCCTCTCCATCCTCATGCCAAGCTCTACTCCAGAGGTTACTGGCTCAAACCCTGTGTGACACCCAGTCTGTTAACCTGAAACACCCCTTTAGGCAGAATCTGAACCAGTGGTCCTTCCTGGTGACTCGGGAGGAGTCAGGCACCTAGGACAGTGGTGCAGAGGGAAGGACAGGCAGTGATCAGTTGTCCTCAGCACCCACCACCAGAAGAAAGCAGCGCCAGGGGCACTCAGCTCCCGTGAGCAGAAGGCGTTCACACCATCCCTAAGACCTAGGAGAACCAGGACACAGCCAACACACCTCCCGCTCCTGAAGACACACAGCAATAGAAATAAACTCCAAGAACTGGCGTGAGGGTGTGAGGGCCTGAGGAGACTCAACCACCCTGCAGTATGGCTCATACCTCAGAGAGGCCAAACAGCCCTGACGCTGAGGCAGAACAGCCTCCTGGGCAGGAGTGCTGACTCCCACTGCTGCTGGACATAGACAGACAGCGAGGACACGGCCCAAAAGAGCATTGGGTTTCAACTAGAAAACACAGCTTTCCCAGAGATGTGCTGGGCTCTGTGCAATGAGTGGTCACTTCTGCATCTGGAGCCTAAAAGTGTCCTCACAAACATCAGGCCACTCGGGAGGCTGAAAGCATGCTGACCCGTCTCATCTCCTTGCGTGCTCACATTCTGCTCAGTTTAAAAACAAGTGTGTGCTACAGTGTGCTCCCGACACAGTCCTGCTGGCTCTGAGCACACCTCCATTATCTGTGCATGGCTGGGACCAGGGAGGGATGTACTGGCCCAGGCGTCACTCCACACAGAGGGGCCTTCTACTTTTAAGTTTCACATTTCACTCTGAATCTTTCCCAATGAGCACATAATTTTAAAAATTAAAGTAGATGATTACATAAATAAAATGAATGTGTCCCACCCACACTCCCCAGCTGCTGCCACTGCTCAGCACCTCCCAACCCTAACCAAGGAGGAGAGGCAGATACGGCAGGCGCGTGGGGCTGTGACACCCAGTGAGCACATTACCAGCTTTATTCTTCGCAAGTTTTTTGCTGCTTGCAGTTCCAGATCCATAAGTCACACCATCAATGGTCACCGAGGCACCAAAAGGCTCGCTTGGGTTCTCTTAAAATTAAAATTACTTGTTTTAAAACATACTTGCTATGACATTAAAAGTGTGCACGCACAGTCTGCCCACACCAACAGACAAGGGGGAGCCAGGCACTGCCCTGCAGAGACCTGGGAAATCCCAAGGCATGGTGGCAGGGCCACAGGGCAGTCGGCAAGGGAAACGGGGGATGTTGGGATGAGGAGAGGAAAGGCGGGAGGGCACTAGGGGCATTGCATCCTGGAACAGGGACCAAGGTCTACAAAAGACAGATACAGGATGGGCAGGGTGGGGAAGGACAAGATGTGGCTTGCCAAAGAGACACACCCAGAAAGATGAGTGTCTCCCCTGGGTTTTGGCTTCCAAGGGAAAGATAAACTGGTGTGATGAGGGTCTCCCGGGAGACAGAGCTAAAGGGAAGCATAGATCCAAGGACCTTCCAGCACCTGGGGGCACCAGGGACCAGGCAAAGGACCCTGTGCATGGTGGGGAGGCTTCCTCACAATAAGCCTCCCTGTAACAAGCCAGGGTCAGGAGCCAGCAAGGTGAATAGGATAGACTGGGAGGGGAAGCAGAACCACTCCCCCTCAGGCAGGGCATAGCTCCATGAAAACCAAGCTACTGTCTACAACGTGCTCATCTCTACCCTGCACGTCCCTCCCTCCCAGCAGAACAGGGCTGATGGTCAGCTTGCACCTCCGCAGCCCGATGAGAGCAATGTGTGGGATTCTTTAGGACTGAAGTGGGGGAGGTCAAACTTACCGCATTCAAAGAAATTATAGACGGGGCGGACCTTGAGGACACGCTGCATGTACTCGTGCAGGATGCAGACCTCAGACTTCCCGTTGGGGTTAATGACAAATTCTGTGACAAGAAGGACTATCTCAGCAGCAGTGCGAGGTGCTGCCACCAAGAGCACTGGGGAACCTGGCAGCATCTCACCACGGAGTCACTAACTGGGGGCTCACTACCAGGGGTGTGGCAGACCTCTGCGTTTATGGAATAAACATAAGCTCTGAATGAAATGCAACTTGTAAAACCCTTGACTAAGAAATAACAGCACAGCCAGCTGTCAGTGTTAACATTCAGACGCCCAAGTCACCTTTCTTCGTAGGTGCATCCTGCACTGATAAAGTGATGAGCTTTTGATTGGCTGGCAGGATGGGCCTCTCAGACTCAGCCTGTTTCCGCTTCATTTCTCTGTTGAACTGACGCCGTTCAGCCCAAGTCCTGAATTTTTTCACAGTAACTTGCTCAAAGTCAAACCGCTTCTCCAGGTAGTTTCGAAATTCCTCAAGATCTGTCCAGGATTACCAGAGAATCCCATTACTAAGCTTCCAATTTAGAAGTCACACCCCTGCCACCCATTGCAGAGGACAGGGTCAGGCCACCCAGCAAACAGGCCACCTGACAGTATTTCCTTTTCCCTGTCCCTTCAGAGGGCAGAGAAAGCAAATAATCAGGTCCCTCACTGTACCAGCTCAAATTATTCTCACAGGTCACATACAAACAAAGTTCTGGAATATCCTTTTACTTTATTGGGGGCAAAAACAAGAATATAAAAATGAAAAGAGGGTGGTGCTTGTGGCTCAAAGGAGTAGGGCGCTGGCCCCATATACTGGAGGTGGCGGGTTCAAACCTGGCCCTGGCCAAAAACTGCAAAAAAAGAAAAAAAAATTAAAAGAAAAAATAAAGTTAAAAAAAAAAAATCAGATGGCCTTCAGAACTTTCTCCCTGTATCAGAACAAGAGGCTGACTGCTCCACCACCACACTCAGTAACACACCCAGCCAGCTCCCCTGGACCTTTGCCCCTTTTTACTGGGGAAAACACCTCCTCATCCTCAGAAACAGCCCCTTGTACCACCCTGGTTTTTCTAGGGCACCTCATGATCAACTTGTGGGACAGGTTGTGACAAGCAGCACACAGCAAGTGCTCTCTCCAGTGATCCCATCCGGGGCTGCAAATAATCCACCAGCACTGGAGAGATGGCTAAGACTGAATGGGTGGAATTAGGCTAAAAGACACTGGCAAGAGCCTGAAAAACACCAGAACATACCCAAAAAGCAATAGGTGGAATTAAGAGGCACTGTCCAGAGACAGGGGGAGTCAGACTAAAGAGGCTTGCTCTGAGCTCATCAGCATATGTTAAGCAAGGCCCCCTGAACAAATCCCACCAAGAAAGCAAGGCTGTAGGAAGATCACAGAATTGAGCAGAGAAAGGCCAGTGGGCAGTGCCGGCAGCCACCTCCCCAGGCAGCCTCAGCTGTGCAAGGCCTGTAGCACCAGAGCCTGGGGCCCCAGCAGGCAGCCTCTTGCATGAAGGGGGGAGATAGGCTTTCCTGGCTAGAGGACAGGCTTGGCACCTTCCTTGCAGAGACACAGGAGCCATGTGACAACCTTTAGCAGGAGGCACGAGACCCCAGGGAGGATGTGGACGCAGTCACACTCCCACGGACATCTCCTAGGCAGCAAGAAGAGAAAGCTCCTTCTGGAAACTTACCGACCGATTCATCTTTGCACACCTCGACTTTGGCCTTCACCTGCCCCAAGGCCCCGGGGGCCGCCTCGGTCCCTAATGGGTCCTTCTCATCTGGGGTCCCCGAGTCAGCGCCCATGGAGTCAGGATCGCCTAGAGGGAACTCCAGCTCTGCAGATCGGCTCAGGGGCTTGGCGGGGGACACCTCCCCACTGGGGGTGACCTCACTGCTCTGCTCCCGCTCCTCATTGTCCTTCATTTTCTTATAATGCAGACAGGGGATACTACTCAGAGGAGGGTCGTGCTTCTGTAGACAGTGAAAAATGCAACACGGATTACAAGGACAGCCCCAGAAGCCTAAACATCTGATGCCTTTTACCAGCTTCTGCCTGCCTACAGTGCAATATGTATGGACGTGCACGGTTCGCTCTGAAAACTTACAAGCCTAAAGTCATGACTGATGCCTCCCCTACCCGTATGCTTCCCGTTCCCAAGAAGTATGGCCTGGACCAGGTGACCACCCGAGACTCTCTGTGTAGGTACACCGGGACTCCGGAGTTATGGAATGTCATGATCCACCCGTCGGGCAGCGGCTCCGTCGGGGGGCGGCCGCGACCTGCACAGAAGAGAACGTCCTGCAGTCACTTTACACACTTACAATGCTGCTAGTCCCTCCTGTACGTGGGGCTGCTCCAAGTTTGAGAGCTTGTGTAACTGTGTCTTCCCAGAGAATCTAAGCTCCTGTCCACCTCTGCCCCCATGGCATAGGACAGAATGTGGCCCAAGGTGGAAACTCATTGTGTCAAACCACATGAAGGAGCACTGAACCGGGCTGTGTGAAACACCAGTTCCCTTCACCTGCCTCTGCAGCTGGTGGATACCTCTCCTGCCTGCTTGGCTGTAGCCAGAGCACACCAGAGGCTGGGAGAGCTTTGCTGATAAACCACATCTGTCACTCCCGCTGACCAAGTGACAAGTCTTTATTGTAACTAAGCTGCACATTTCACCAGCACATAAAACACTACTGCAAATTAGTAAGTCTCTAAATGGTTTTTTAGGACACCCCTTCCAACTCCTTCCTTGCTCTACCAGCAGTCGTGAGAGAAAGGTTTAAGACTATTATCTACTCAACACCTGCCTCTAAAAGAACTATTGCTGGGAAAAGCTAAGACAAAGATTTAACTAAAACTTAAATTTTCTTACAGATATTAGAAACAAATTAAAAACTTATAAACAGTACTCTGGACGGCCAAGGCTAGTGGACTGCTTGAGCTCACGAGTTTGAGACCAGCCTGAGCAAAAGTGAGACCCCCATCTCTACTAAAAACAGAACCGAGGCAAGAGGATTCCTTGAGCCTGAGTTGGAAGTTGCTGTGACCTATGCCATGGCACTCTACCCAGGGCAACAACTTGAGACTCTGTCTCAAAAAATAAAATTAAAAATTAAAAATTCAGAAACAAAAGAAAAGAAAAAAAGCAAGTGAAACCTAAAAAAATACATTGTGGAGAAAAAGGTACCAATGACTCTTAAGAAAAGCAGCAGCACATGTCAGCTAGGTCACCGGCTTGCAGCCCTCAATCTGGGCCTGACACCTGCAAGCAGACCCATGTCAGGTGACAGCCCCAGAAAAGGAGTGCCATAGGTCAGGTGTGCACACATACTGTGCAGCCTCTCCACAGGGCCTCCAGCCAAAATGAAGCTACTTCAGCAAATAAACTGGGTTTGGGCTAAGGAAGCAGAAGCAGCCAATGGAATACAGAGCCAAGACAGGACACAGGCCCACCCAGGCTGTTCCCTTTGGGACACAAAGTTGGCCCAGCCCCTGGGAGAGTGCTCATGCAGCTGTATGTTGAGTGTCCGGTAGGCAGGCCAAGCCTGGTGCTGACCTGCTGGCTGCACAGGACGGACATGGCTTTACCTGGGCAGAGTGGGCCTGCTGAAACCAAGGGAGGGCAGGAAGCCACTCTTCCCAAGGCACCAAGGCAGGCTGTTCCTCCCTTTCCTCCAGAAACCTCAGCCCCAGGCTCCTCCAGCCCATGACCATCTATCCCAACAGCCCTCCACTCAACTACATAACGCTTGGTGCTGCTAGCTCATCCCTCGGTAGCCCAGGGAGTGGATCACCCGCACCCCCTACTTCCTCCCGTCACACCTTACCACCTTCTGCACCCTGGCCCCCAGATGAAGGTCCTACCTATCTGCCAGAGTCCCGTGTGTGTCGTCAGACCCTCTACCGAGGCCAACACCTCTCCTGGGACACACTTACAGGTGCCTCTAGGCCACCAAGCATGACTCCTCCTACCCCTGCACAGCACTGAAGACCAGGCCCTCATGAGGCTACTCTGGGAAGCTCCCAGCTGCTCTCCCACTGTCCTTAAACAGAGTACAGGTCCCATTGGCTGCACCACCAAAGCATCTCCACCTCTTAAGGAGCTTCCAACCTATCCACCTGAAAGGGCAGGTGCCATGCTTCTCAGGAACAATGGATAATGCCCACCTGCTACTGCTGGCTTCTGTGACACTTGATATAAAACAAGAACCTGGTCTGTGACCTTCCTGAGCACCCACCTCTGGTCTTGGCCTCCACACCCTCTGGCTGTCAGTCTCATCAGCCCCTCCTTAGGGCCCTGAGGGCCTGACCCCTCAGAAGCCCTCTCCCCCTACTCTGCCCCCTCTATGGTTTCTACTATACTTCCCACATCTGCACCTATGCGTCGAGGTGTGTCCCAAATCCTGTTCTCCCCTCCTTAGACATGACTGCCCTGTCATGGAACATATGTCCCCATTGCTTGGCACAAGAGGGTCCTCAAAGCAATTTTTTTTTTTTTAAAGAAACAGGGTCTTGCTCTGTTGCCCAGATTGCAGTGTAGTAGCATGCTCATAATTCCTATGCTCAAATGGTCCTCCTGCCTCAGCCTCCTGAACAGCTAGGACTACAGACACCTGCTGCCATGCCTGGCTTATTTTTCTTCATTTTATGTAGAGATGGGTCTGCCTGTGCTGCTCAGGCTGGTCTCAAACTCCTGACCTCAAAAAAATCCTCCTGCCTGAGCCTCCCACAGTGTTGCAAATACAAGCTTGAGCCAGCACACCGACCACAGCCTTTTGGCTGAGAAAACAATTGCCCTTCTGCTGCCTGGACAAACCACTGCTCCTGCCTGCCCACTCACTTTTGAGCACAGTTTTAATCTTGGTCATCATCGGCTGCACACTCGTTTCTCCATCAGAGGGATGGTCACTATCTCCTCCATATTTTTCCTCTGTTCGCCTCTTTTTGGGAGCACAGAGGCCTTCTTCCAGCAGAGCATCCACGTCATTGTCAAAGTCATCCTGCAAAACATGCTGTTCAGACCCCACAGCCCTGGTGCCCACGCTCCTGCCCGATGGCAGGCTCAGCCGCAGTGATGAGCACAGACACAAAGGGGTGCTCTCAAGGGGCCTAGGTGTGCCCTCAGGGCATGTGGCCATCTGAAAAACAAGTGGGTGAGACTGAGAGGGATGCCCACATGCCTGGTCCAGGTGCACGCTGCCAAGGAGCACTCCTCAGGAGCACCTGCCCACTCAGGTTGGACAGAGGGCACAAGGCCAACCCATCAACCAAACTTTTTGATAAAAAACCTTTAAAAATCTGGACTCCTTATTATCCTTCTCTTCTCCATGTAACACTATTCCACTTCATAAGGCCTTTCATTGTTTAAATTTCCCTGCAATCTCCAAACCCCTCTGGGATTGCTAAGAGCCCACCAAAGGAAGGGTCACCAACATACCTCATAGGAGAAATTCAAGGCCTCTTCGTCCACTCTGTCTCTTTGAACGATTGCTTTAGCCGTGAACCCGCCTGCTCCTTCTTCATCTAGCTCCAAATTGTCAGTAAAATCTTCTAACTCATCGAGCACTGCATACTCCACTCTCTTTTCCTGATCCAGCTCATTCTCCTCATCCTTCTTATCAGCACTCTCACCCCCTACGCCTACCCCATTACCAACACTCCCGCCAAAGGGACAAGCATGCACGTCCCCACTGACAGGGCTAAGGAGCAGACCACATTCCGCCCGCGTGTCACGCTCCACTCCTGTGTACAGCACCTTCCTGTCCTTACTCCTGCAGCTCTCAGTAAAGCTCACACTAATCTTTACATCCTTAAGCAACTTAAGATCAGGGGAGAACTTCCGGACCGCAGGTGCGTGCCGGGCGGTGCGCGGGCTGTGGCCACTACAGTTCGGGTCTATGAGGAGACGGCCCTTAGAGAAGGATCCTTTGGAGAGAAGAGAAGCTCCGTAGAAGTTGAAGGGGTCCTCGGCAGGGGGTTCGGACTGTCCATCACCACCAGAGCCAACGTCCATTACCTCTGCACCACTGGACGTTTGCAGGGGAGGTGGTGGAGACTGCTCACGGGGCAGCACTTGGAAGGGGCGAGCTCGGCTCTCCATCACCGCTTCTCCTGCGGGCCCATGCAGGAGCAGAGAGGGGCTCTCATCTGTCTCCATATTAAAAGCGCTTAAGACTACTTTAAAGACCAGAGTTTTATAAGCCCTCACATAAATCTACACAGCTAACATGCACAAGTCCGCCGAGACCCAGGCGCGTCCTGCCGCGCTGCACGCTGGCGGCTTAGTCAAGCTGGCCACATTGCTCTTTTCATTAATGTAGACAGCTTTTAGAACCACTGCCTCAATTATTGGAAATCACAATGCACTCAGCTTAAGTGACTGGCGACTAAACGAGTCTGTCTTCATGCCGCAGCGGCACCTTTCTTCTTCCACCTGCAAAGAAATTTAAAAATATCATCACAAAATGACAGAAACCTTCCACTTCCCTGGTACCGAGTCAAAGTCGAGTGCTATTAACAGCACAGTGAAAGCTTAGAATAACATGCCTGAGCGAGCCTTTCAGGCATCAGAACAAACTGGCCTCACTTTCTTGCTGTAGACCCTAAAGTACAATTTCAGTCCAAAGTTTAATGTTTTATTAACTGTCCACTTTAATTCCTACTGCAGAAGCACAAAAATAATATAATCTTAAGGCTCAAAAAGAATAAAAAAAATGTACACTGAACTGCAGCACAGCACTCCCCTAACCTAGTCTAACAATAAGCCAGCATGCGAGGGTGGGGGGTGGGCACCCTTTCTGTAAAACACAGAAGGTTGGCTGCCTCTCTCAAGTCATCAGGGCACAGCAATCCACTCACCTGCAAGGGCTGGGTCAGTCAGAGGGCAAGCACCAGGCCCTCAGCTCAGCTCTGCAGCACTAGGGCCTCAGAGACATGGCCAGGTGCCTGGCGCCCAGGCCCCAGGGCTCTCCTGGGCCCACAGGGTAGCACGTGGACAGGGACAGTGAGGCAGCGTGCCGAGGTCAGCAGAGGTGATGGCACAGTTGTTTCCAGTGGAGAGAAGGGTAGGTGGCTATGGGGAAGGGACCCTGCCCTGGGTTTTGGGAGACCTACAGGGGCTGGCTATAGGCAAGGCACAGAGTCCTGGTCTACCTACAGCCTGGCTCCATGCAGGACAATAGGAGTCACTGAGGGCTAAGCAACTCTGGGGCTAGAATTAGATCCCTGTTTGAGAAAAGAGTAACTACTATGCCAGGCAGAGGCAAAGGTACAAAGTAATGGGGATGTCTTCCACGCCAGAGAACAAAGGTGTGAAAGAGCTGGCAACAGGGCTGGAGACATGAAGAACAGTGTCACAACTGCCCACACCTGTTGACCCAGCAGAGGTGGGGAGCAGAGAAAAGAGGGAACTGAGATGAGTCAGGCTTCTCCCCTGGAGGCACACATGGACTCTAGCATCTAGGCAGGAGCCTGGAGAGACCATCCAATGTGCCAAGGCCATAGCTCGGAAGCCGTTAACTGCTCCAGAAAGGGAAGACCAGAAGGCATCATCAAGGAGGTAGCTGCAAAGCTCACAGGTGGGTCAGGTCAGTGAGCCTGGGGGTTAAGGACACAACTCTTGGAAGCCTCACTGTAGTGGAGAAGGCCAGTCAGCGGACAGGGTGGCCAGAAAACCCAGGGGCCCGCATCAGAGCAGAAGCACATGCAGACAGACACATGCACATGCCCACTCACATCGCGTGCAGAGGCACCGTGCACGCACTCTGCATGCCACACCATGCACACAGGCCCACAGCGTGTGACGGCCTTAGCAGGTACAGGGACATAGTATACTATGAGAGACTCCCAGAAGAAAAAGGAGACAGCAGACATCCCATGTCTGCAAAGTGTGCAGTGAAGGGACAGAGCATGGTGGTGTACTTTGAAGGGACTACAACACAAAAACCTGAGAATGCTTTAGACTTCATCCATACACTGAAGTCTGCGCAGCTGACAGTCTGCTCAGAGGGAGCCACTACATCAACAGTGGCAGGGTCCTCAGGGCCTGGACATGTGGGCAGGGCAACAAGCACTGCACTATTACTCTATTTCTAAGTTCTAAGATGTCCTAACACTTTTTAACTCAATGGGAATTGGACACAATACCACGCCGAGGGCATGTCCATCAAAGCTGCTCCATGTTAAGGGAACAGCAGAACTAAGAACGGTCTGAAAAGTGGACGCTAAGGAGGCTGCAGCTGGGCCAGGTGGGTGTGAGCAGCACCCAGTGGGGTGAGGCCAGTTTCCTGGCAGCCAGAAAGACCACCTCAAAGTAGGGACACACAGGTCAGCATGCCAATGCCACAGAGACCCCAGTGAGTCAATCTGTGGTTCTGAGGGTTAGGAAGCTACAGTGAAGACACGAGGAGGTGGGAAGACTGCAGGCCAGGAGGGGTGGGAAAGGCTGCCACCATGTACAGGGCTCAGAAGCAGCCAGCACAGGAGTTACCACATAAAGATGAAAACTGCCCAAGGGCAGCGGCAGAGCAGGGGGTTCTGGAACCAGTAAAAGGGAGTGCGCTCCTGGGAAAAGCAGGAAACCTGCCCAGCCTGAGCTCAATGGTGGGGGGTTTGGGGCAAGCCCCTTACTCTGTAAGCTTTCTCCATCCATTCAACAAGGCCCACTGACCACCTTCCGTGTGGCACACACAGACTAGATACTGCAGACGCAAGAAAGGCAAAACCCCTGCCCTGCAGAGCTCACATTTGGTGGTAAAGATGGACAAATGATAGGCTAAAACAGGAAAGGCTGAGGAAGGGGAGGCAGCTTCAGAAAGGGGGTTCAGGGAAGGCCTCACAGCCAGTGTCCACCTGAAGGAACAGTGAGTGAGGTGAGCAGCAAGGCTGGGAGGAAGGGATGTTCCAGATGACACTGAGGGCAGGAGCGTGGTGTGGGAGGCTGGCATGGTATGCTGAGGGGCATGACAGTGGGCCAGGTTAGTAAGGACAAGCAGGGCAGGGCTGGGCACCCCAGGCTACTGCCAGGACTCTGGCTCCTATCTTCAGAGAGATGGGCTACTGGACAGGCTGGTCCAAGCAGGGACATCTCATGATCTAAGGACAGCTGTGGCAGCCCACCCTCAGCCAGGCCCTGTTCTAAGCACTGAGAACATTTTAACTCACCCAGTTCTCACACAGGACTGTGAGAGGAAGGTGAAGCCCAGAAAGGTTAAACCACTTGCTCAAGGTCATACTGCTAGAAATGGTGCTGCTACCTTATTCCCAAGGCAAGCTGGATTGAGTCTACCTTGCCTCAGGTTTACACCACCTTACCATTTAAAAGAATCACCAGATGTCCAGAAAAACTACAGATGCATGGACAGGGCCAGGAGTGGGGATCAAGGGTGACAACAAAGAGAATTAGAGGCTCACTTGATAGTTTGGACCAGGATGTTAGGTAGTTGATAGAAACAGAAGGTGAGCTGACAGGGCCAAGGGTTGTATAAAGGCATAAGAAAGAGAGGAACTGAGGGGACTTGAGAAAGGCAAAAGTTTGGGTATGCTTCAAGAATGGAATTTGTCTGGACAAGGCTACCTGGCATCAGAATGACACAGGAGACATGGAAGAGGCAAGCCAAAACACCAGGCTGGAGCTCAGGAGGAAGGTCAGGCTGGAGATGGAGACATGGAAGACAAGTTGGCACTAAAGCCAGGAGGCTGGACAAGATCACCAAGGGTGATACCAAGGAGAGGTCAAGAATCTCAGTTGCCACCCAAGGTCATGGTAGAACTACCAAATAATCCCTGGGATGTGCTCTACACAGAGGGCCTGGTCATGAAGGGTCTAAAGGGGGGGCGGGGCCTCCCACCTTAACACTGCTCCAGCTGATTGGACAATGTGGGTACAAAGCTTGCCCTTCCAAGTGGACTGTAAGCCAGCAGCAGACCCATAGCGGGCTTCCTAGACCCCTGGCACCAGGTAAAACCCCAAACTTGGACAACACCCTTCCTTGGAGTCCACTTGCTGTGCTGGCACCAAGGCACCATAGTGACAGTCCAGCGCTGTGCATGCTGCCTTAGGTCAAGCCTCTGTGCTGCAGCTCCCACCCAACCCAGCAGCAGGATGACCTCATCTGTCCCTTTTTTCATCCTCCAGCGGGCCTCACATCCTGTGCTCACAGGGGCACTGAGCACCCCATCCTGGTCATTCACTCCCTGTGTGAGGGATGGCCTGCCACAGGGTTGGCGGCCCCTCCCACAGCTGGGAGTCCAGTCTAGCCAGGCCAGTGTTTAGCCTGGAACGGGGGACAGCCCTGGACCAGACTGTCGTGCAGTAACAAGGGACATGCAGGCATGCAAAATGGCAAATCGAATTCCTACCAGGAGCAACCCAAGTCCATCTGATGATGCCTGACAGGAATCGCTGTCAACAGGTTGCCACCTTCCATTTATTTATACCACGCTCAATGTTACAATAAAACCATATCCCAAATATCTATGCGACGCTCAATCCGGGAGCGTCTGGCGGAGAAAAAGTCTGAGGCGACTTCTCAGATTCCCAAACTGTGATAAAGCCGGCAGGGTCTTGGGCGAGCTCAATCCCTGTTCACACCTTTCCCGCCTGAAAGCGATGCTACAGCTTCGGACACATCGGGCGAGCGGCCTCTTTGCCCAGTCGGACAGCGACCCGCTTTAGCGACGCCTGGACCCGGGCCCGCCCCCCGGCCCCAACCCCCCACCCCGGCCCCGGCCCCGGCCCCGGCCCCGGGCACGGAGGGCCCCCGCCCCGCGCTCTTGGAGCCCGGCGGCCATGTTGCCTCACAAAGGCTGGACTCCGCATGGCCCGGCCCGCCTCGCACCCCCCGCCCCGCCCCGCTTCGAGGCCAGGCCCAAGCTCTCGGTGCGGGAGAGGAAGGCGGGAGGTTAGGGCTCGTCTTCTCGCAGGCCGCAGCGCCCGCCCGCCCGCCCGCGGGGCGCCCCGTGCGCCCCGCACCTACCTGCGGCGCCCGCAGCCTGCCCGAGCCGCCCGCAGCCAACCCCAGCGAGGGGATCCTCACCGCCCGGCCGCCGCCGCCATCAGGAAAGACCACCCGGGCTCTCCGGTCGGCGGGACCCGCCTGCCGCGCCGGGCGAGCTGAGGGCTGGCTTTGGCGGCGCGCGGCCAATCTCAGAGCGCGGCCGCCCCGCATTGGGGGAGCCGCCGAGCGGGCTGAGAAGGCCGCCAATAGGCGGCGCGTGGCACGCGTGTCTGCGGCGCGCGGCCCAATGGCGCGGCCGCGCGGGCGGGACCAGGCGCCCAGGCCGCGGTCGCGCTAACGGTTGCTGCCCGGGCGGGGCTCTCCGGGCGGAGGACCGCGGCGCGGAGAGCGCCGGGAGCCGGGAGAGCGCGGGATGCTGGGAGCAGGGCAGCGCGGGGAGCGCCGGGAACGCGGAGCGCGGGGGCCGCCGGGAGCGCCGGGCGTGGAGCCGCCGTGGGCCCGCCCGCCGTGTAGACCGTGCGGAGGCGGCTGTGCGCTTGTGGGCTCCCGAAAAGACCCATTTGAAAATACTAGTTTATCAGACCTGATGGTCACAAAATCCCGGAACACGCCCGGCTGGCGTGTCTCTGTTGCTGGTGCTGAGTCAGCAGCCTCGGAGAAGGGGGCGTGCAGTGGGAAGGGTGCGGTTCCTCAGCAGACCAGCTTTCCAATCAGTACGCGCGGAAGGAAAGGCAGAAACGAAGTAAGCCATCGGGCAGCCACCTCGGAAACAGCTGCTGCAGACAAAAATCGTGGGTGCCAAAAGTAGTGCCAATACTAGAAATGCATTTTGTTTTCTCTCTTTACGGAGTTACAAAGTTTCTTTCCCAAGATACTTCTTAATTGCAGAGGGAAAATAGCTTTTCAAGTGAGAAGGCCCATTGGGAGACACCAGGTTGAATAAACGATCTCGGTCACTGGCAAGTGTAAAGGTACCTGCTGGTGGTGGTGGGGCACTTGGAATATGTGCATTACCGTGGATGTTAATTACGCTTCAGTACAAGTGGGGAAAAGCACTAGTAAAGGATATACTGTGGGCCTCAAGAGGGAGACGTAGGTTCACTTGTGGGTATTTCCACCCAAAATAACTTAAACGAAAAAGGATCAAACAAAGGAGACGGTGTGCACCCGCGGTCCCAACTGCTTAGAAGGCTGAGGCAAGAAGATTGCTTGAATTTGAAGCCACAGTGACTTTATGATGGTGCCATTGCACTCCAGCCGGGGTAACAGTGCAAAACCCTGTCTCAGAAAAAAAAAAAAAAATACTCCTAGCACTCTGGGAGGCAGAAGTGGAAGAATGACTTGAGATCCAGAGTTTGACACCAGTCTGAGCTAAAATGAGACTGTCACTCTACCACAAATACAAAAACTACCTGGGCAACTGTAGCCCCAGCTACTGGGAGGCTGAGCCAAGAGTCTAGTCACTTGAACCCAGGAGTTTGCTATAAGCTATGATGTCACTGCACTCTACCCAGGGTGGCAAAGTGAGACTGTCTTTAAAAAAAAAGAAAGAAAAATGCCAGCGTGTGCTTTTCAAATTTGCGATGATCATTCAAGTCAAGGACAGACTGAGGCGCCCTTTTTGTTTAAAGGAGACACAACTAATTGCAAGGTGGAATCCACCCCTCTAGGCTCATAAGAGGGACATTAGCAGGACCATTGGTAAAATTAAAATAAGGTGGGCGGCACCTGTGGCTCAAAGGAGTAGGGCACTGGCCCCATATGCTGGAGGTGGCAGGTTCAAACCAAGCCCCGGCCAAAAACTGCAAAAAAAAATTCAAATAAGGTTTGCAGATTAGTTAATAGTGTTGTATTGACAATAGATTCTTAGCTAGGCCAAATTTGAATCAGGCTCCTAGGCCCATCTTCCTTATAAATTCCAGGTTTAGGCCAGGCATAGTATCTCCCACCTCTAATCCCAGCTATACAGGAGGCTGAGGCTGGAAGATCACTTGAGCTGGAAGTTCTGAAACCAACCTGGGCAACATAGTGAGACCCCTATGTCTACAAAAATAAAAAAATTAGCCAGGCATGGTGTTCAGCTACTTGGGAGGCTGAGGAGGTAGGATCCTTTGGGCCTAGGAGTTAATGACTTCAAAGAGTTGTCATAGGTCTAGGTGACAGTGAGATTCTGTCTCAAAAAGAAAAATCCAGGCTGGGCACCTGTAGCTCAGTGGTTAGTGCACCAGCCACAAGCTCCAGGGCTGGTGGGTTGAAACCTGACCCTGGGCCTGCTAAACCAAAAAAAAAAAAAATAGTTGGGCATGGTGGTGGGTACCTGTAGTCCCAGCTACTAGAGGGGCTGAGGCAAGAAAATCCCTTATGCCCCAAAGTTTGAGGTTCTGTGAACTATGATGCCATGGCACTCTACCAAGGGTGACAAACCACTTTTAGCAAATCACCCACAGACCCAACTTTGATCACGCTCCCTATCTGATCAGGTTCCTCTGCCATCCCCTAGGTGATAAGTATCACAAATTTTGTTGGGTCAGTTTAGACAGGGTCCCCCTTCACCCAACATCTCCTTGTTCACTTTCCATGCACTGCCCTACACATTGCTGTGTGGCTCTGTGCCTTACTGTGATTACGGTTGAGCTCAATCTCTCCACTGCAAGACTCTTGCAGTGGTCCGTATACCTATGGCAATGGCCCTGAATTAAGTCTTTTTTTACTATAATTTAACAAGTTAATAAGTAATATTGAATAGTTTTTTCTTTAAAAGTTGTGGTACTACAACTCAAGATTGGATTCATCATGGGAACTTGGAGCCTGTCACCAAAACCCCTCAGGGTGTATCTTTATGGCCTCTGTCTTCTCTCCTGATTGGTTGGTTGTGAGATCCATTGGGAGTCAGACTATCTCTCTATTGCTCTGGATAAACTTTTGTTTATCCACTTTTGTTCAAGCTGAGAAAGATAAATTTTGATTTTAAGAAGCTGGGTTAGAGTCCTAGAATTCTTTTGAAAGGTACCTCTTGGACTAGAAGGTCTTCTTGGCTCCCTGTTCTCGGTGGGGATGATTCCCTCACTCCCTGGGCTAGAAGTCTGTACTTCCTGGCTCACTGTGAGGCTTCTCTGGTTTGTTGAATCCTGCTTTTCCCAGGGGAACTTCTCGGTCACTTGAATCATCTCTTCTTGAACCCCTCAGACTACATGCTCTGCCAAGTCTGCCCACCTCCTCACTGGCATGAGTTTGCCCGCTAGTTCCCTTGAATCATGAGATATATCTCCCTTCAAACTCTTACACCCTCCATTCTCTGTCCCCTCTACCACAATCTCTCCCTACCTTCTTGCCCCTCAGTCACTGAAACTTTAGGACACATGCTTTCGTGGGACTCAGGGGCCATGCCTTAGTCCATTTTCTATTGCTTATAACAGAATACCTAAAATTGCATAATTTATAAGAAGTTTGGGCTCGGCGCCTGTGGCTCAATTGGCTAAGGCGCCAGCCACATACACCTAAGGTGGCCGGTTGGAATCCAGCCCGGACCTGCCAAACAACAATGACGGCTGCAACAAAAAAATAGCCGAGCATTGTGGTGGGCACCTGTAGTTCCAGCTGGGGCAGGAGTCTGGGGCAGGAGAATCGCCTAGGCCCAAGAACTGGAGGTTGCTGTGAGCTGTGATGCCACAGAACTCTACCAAGGGCATCAAAGTATCTCTAAAAAGAAGAAAAAAATAAAGAGGCTTGGTGCCTGAGGCTCAAGCAGCTAAGGCACCAGCCACATACACCTGAGTTGGTGGGTTCGAATCCAGCCTGGGCCCACCAAAAACGACAACTACAACCAAAAAATAGCTAAGCATTGGGCATCGCCTATGGCTCAAAGGAGTAAGGCACTGGCCCCATGTACCAGAAGTGGCGGGTTGAAACCCAGCC